TGCGCCCGAATGCGCCCTGAGATTGGCAAGGGGGTAAGCGGCAATGCCCCCGAATGCGCCCTAACATGACTCCTTAACTTGCGGGCATGATATTTGAGCACATGTTTATCGGGTTACCTAGCAACGGATACGAAAATAGAACGTGAAATTCGAGCTTTTCAACGGTGTATCATGCAAGAAAATCGGCCAAAAACTCGCAAAGTTTTTCAAGTTTAAAACCTTAGTTTTTCAAAAATAATGAACAATGGCGAAACTGTTGCAAAGAATGGTTTTACAGCAAGTTTTAAAAGCGAAGAAAGAAGAGGTTTTTGAATCATTTACAACAAAAATTTGGCATGAAAGGAAAGCGAATGTATTGACGTTTTGGGGCCAAGTTCTTCTGTGAACCATCCGCGAGATTTTCAGCCAAAAAGATGAGGATTTCTCCAAACTTTATTAAAAGTAGAAGTCGGAAATCACAAGAAAGATGAACACGGAACTCAAGTGAGCAGATACGATATTTTAAGGGTATTTTTGAGTAGAAATATGCGATCAAATACTCACAAAATTCGACCGCATTAAAGTTGGTTGAATCTAGTTTAAAGTTATCTTTTTAGACGAACTGTTTATGCAAATTTGGGCACAATTTCGACTGTTTTCGTAACCCCATTGTTGGTCTTCTTGTTCAAGTTGTTATTTTAGCTAAAGTATGTTTCAAATGACACCAGATTAAAATACTGTCTGCGTACGTGCCCTTTTTGGCAAGAATACTTCGAGTATTAAATTACACTAAGTAAGTAGGATACTCCAAAATCACTGTTATATCTATTTTCATTAATTTAGTCTTAAAACGACAACTCGTTTCAGACATAATGTGGTTTAAAATAAGCGTATTGAATTAGTGCGCTTGCTTGAGTTCTAAAGCTTTTAAAACGCTTTTTCTATTGGGTTTTATATCCCCATAAAACTTTAAATCGATAAAGCAGATAATAATGTTGATGCAACCTCATTTTCTAGTAACTACACGTTGAATCAGAAGGAAAAGTTATCAAAAATAGGTCGCGACCGTTGCTTGCAAAATGCCGCTTCTCTCTGAAATGGCTTCCTTTGCGGGAAGCCATGAAATTGAAGTCCTAACAAAAACTAACCTTAGCAGTTCTTTTGGGCCCATTGCTCACTTATTTATCATGAAATTGCTTCACTAGAACATTTTTAATAATGTCTATGGGAAACTTTGTAATTTTCTGAACTAAAAGTTTATGGTTTTGAGGTGTTTATTTTATAAAATAGCACGCGCGACAAAATGGCACTACTGTGGTTTCTCATGTCTGACAAACAACCAAAGATGAAAGTCCTTATTTCACCCTTTTATAGCTATGTTGAATACCTGAATATTAGGTTATCTTTTTCATTTGAGCATACAGATAACATTTCTACACAATTAGTCCTAATGAAAGCTTATTTCAAACTAAAAAAAGCGATTGTTTTTTAGAGCCAGACTTCAAAAGAAAACGCGTGTCTGACATTTTATAGCAGCCTACTTGGCGCACAAAATAATTTTGGCTAAAAACCGTTTCTTTCCAAACAGAAACATGAGAAAATTGAGCTAAAAGGCTTACCTGATGTATGTTTAAAATGTTTTTCTCTTTATGGTGTTTTTCAGTGCTTTGAGTAGAGAAGTGAATAACTTTTGGTTTTGTCACCGCAATTTACCTTTGAAAATGTCGGCTGTCATTGTCTGTGTTAAAAAGACCTCAGAAAATTCCTATTTTCTCACCTTCCCATCCTTGGTTTATATTGAAAATAAATAAATTCTAGTACCATATGTCCTTTTAAATATATTTGAGGTAATTAAAAACTCCAAAGATGAACAAGCACTGTGTTTTGGCTTGCACATTTTGTTCAATTTGAACACTTAGTTACTGTTCTAAATTTCATGTTGTAAATATCTTGCCCAAAAAAAGCAAATGAGTATTTTTTATAATTTTTGATCATTTTCTAATTCATATCCCAAAAGATGAAAATTGGTTATAATATAGATATGTACTAATTTAGTACATGATTTTTTGTTTTGTTTTTATATAAATTTATGGAGATATTGCCCCTTTAGGTGATGAGTGACATGAAAAACAAAGTGTCACTGCTTTACAAATAAAAATTCTCATTGAAAAAACTAATCATATATTTAGGTATGCAAAGTCATTTAAACTAAATTTGGTCAATCATATATCACTAATGTTTGGTTGAAAAGATCAGATTTTTTTATGCAACTGTTTCTGAGATATTGCCATTTTGGTGAAAGCTCTTGAATCAATCACGTATTCGCCATATTGCTTGCGCCTTAGGCGGGTAGAAACATTGTAACAGCTTGCCGCTTAATGAGTTAAATGGTACAAATAAGGATCTATACATCTGTAGGCAAGTAAAACCTATGGTATGGCAAACGTTTGGGTATTTTGAGTATATGTAAATGTAAATATGTAAATACTTCTAAATATGCTGTAACGAGAAGCGTTTTGCAATTTTACAATTCCAAAAAATAGCTATTAACCTGACTTGTGGGAGCCACAGTCGCCCGACAATTCTTCTTTAAACGGTACAAATAAGGATCTATACATCTGTAGGCAAGTAAAACCTATGGTATGGCAAACTTTTGGGTATTTTGAATATATGTAAATGTAAATATGTAAATACTTCTAAATATGCTGTATTGTAGAGTGAACAAAACTGTTTGGATACGTTTAAAAGCTTAAAATATGTTTGTTTTATTAATTCCTACTTTTTGCTCAATTAGTTCAACTAAGGAAGAATGGAAAGATAGTTGGCAGAGGAAAGACCTGTCCAAATATGACAAAAGTACACAGATATGACCTGACAAATGGTTGGGTTTCTGTACAAGTAGTTGAACTTTACTAGCCCATGGTGTCATGTTGGATTGATTTTCCAACTCTTTCGGAAAAAATTGAAACTGGAAGTTTCAGTGCATGGCCGGTGGATCACTTGATTGCAGGAAACAATTCTGGTAATGTAATATAGATGTTTTTAAAATTATAAATGCAACGAGGTGTTAACCTGTTAAAAAATTAAGTATGGGCAACATTGTACGTTATTCGGTCAAGAAAAAAGATGCTTGGGAATATACTCTCTGGTTAACTCTAATCGATGTTGTTCTTGCACAAAAAGCTTGTAAAATTATTTCATAAACAGAATCAATGCACGCATCAAATTCGAATGTAAGCATCAAATTCGCTAAAAATAAATTATTTTAAAAGGTATTTTTCTTGCTAATGTTTTGTGTTATTATATGCAATCCTTTTATTGATAATATAAATCTTGTATAGCTTCATACAAAATAGACAGAAATTATTTATTACAATGCGAGCTACAATACATACCAACCATATAAGAAACGTAAAATTTTGAAAAATGGTGTTTAATTAAATAGGTAAAGAAATTCCATCGGTAAAAAGAACACCTGGAAAAAAGAGGAAATTATACCAATACATAAGTAATAAACAAAACCAAATGCTACTGGTGATTAAAACGTTTCTATTTATTATTAATATTAATTTAGGTTTCTATGGAGATAATTGTTGAGTTTCACCTGCATTGTTTTGAC